GAGGCCGTCGGTGCCACGCACCGGCGCGTGCTCCACCAGCTGGGACGGCAGCGCCTGTCAAACACGACGGCAGTGACGTCAGGTGGCGATGTCACCTGGTGACGTCGGTTGGTGATGTCACCTGGTGACGTCAGGTGGCGATGTCACCTGGTGACGTCGGTTGGTGACGTCACGCGCGCTCGGACGGGGCGCAAGGTGGGAAGGGAGCTTTGAGCTGCTGCCTGAGAAACCGAGCAACCGTCGTCGCCAGCTGTTGTGTAGGAAGGTAAAGTTGTGAGGAAAGGCAAATCGCGGAGAAGCGAAGCAGAACAATGTGGCACAAAACAATGAAAACAATGACAACAGCAGAACAATGCGCTGCCACAGAGAACCCCGTCGGCGCGAGTTTAATGGTGACACTTCAGCTGTGTGTGGAAATCTTCCGGCTGACAGTGCGACATCAGTCAAGTCTTGAGTGAGTTCAGCGGTCAGTGTGACATGGTCTTAGCCAGGTCGCTTAAGTTGCTGGCGGTGCCGCGGTCACCGCTGACGCCGCTGGCGGTGCCGCGGTCACCGCTGACGCCGCTGGCGGTGCCGCGGTCACCTCTGACGCCACTGGCGGTGCCGCGGTCACCGCTAATGCCGCTGGCGGTGCCACGGTCACCGCTGACGCCACTGGCGGTGCCGCGGTCACCGCTGACGCCGCTGGTGGTGCCGCGGTCACCACCGCCGCCGACCCCACGTCCGGCCGCCTTTATGACGCCCTAAATCAAAACAGAAACGACTGCTATTTGAGCAAGTCGCCACGGAAGCAGTTGGCCTCAAGTGTCGTCGTCAAAGGCACGCCAAGTGCCCGGCGTGGCGCGGCCGAGTCAAGCGCGGCCAAAATGGCGCACCAGAGGCCTGCCGGTGCGCCGACACGCGCGCTCTTCCGTCTGGGAGAGTGCCGTAAAGGGGAGATCACTGCCGCGTTTGGTCCGACACACGTCCGCCCCGGTCGGCGCGACTCGCAGCGGAGACGCTTGGTCACTGCCGCTTCTGCTTAGTCGCTGTGCCGTGTGCGTTCGTGGGTTTGCGGTGGAAGCCTCGTGGGATCGTGGAAGGCTTAGACTGGAGGCCAGTTTTGCCAGCTGGGCGGTCCCATGGGGATCATTTGCCGTCGGGCGTCGGAACAGCTCGGTTATCGGGCGCCGTTGTAATGGAACGGTCTGCAAATGTGCCGCAGCCGAGAAAGGGAGGGGCCTCTCGTCTCTCCAGTAGGCCGGCTGCCAGGCCTCTCGCCTCTGCTGGAGGCCGTCGGCCGGGCCCTTCGCCTCTCTAACAGGCCGGCTGCCGGGCCTCTCGTCTGTCTCGGGGGCCGGTTGCCGGGCCTTTCGTCACTCCAGCAGGTCGGCTGCCGGGCCTCTCGTCTGTCTCGCGGACCGGCTACCGGATCACTCGCCTCTCCAGGAGGCCCGCTGCCGGACCTCTCGTCTGTCTCGGGGCCGGCTGCGATCAGTGCCAGGCGCGAGATGAGGCCGTTACAATTGTGCAGCATGATTATGTCGCTTCTCTGAACGAGCCAGATAAAGCCACCAGGAAACGCCAATTTATCAGGACCATCAATCACGGCTAGCAAGGTCCGGCTCATTTACGGGGCCGGTGAAACGCCACTATTCGTGCGCAATGTTTAATTACCATCACGGGCATTTCCCTTCCCAGAAATGTGATGTAGCACGATAACGTGGAATCTCTGGCAGAAAGGCTTTGGCGTAAGGATTGTGAAATATTTAGTTGTGTTACATGTAATACATGTAGGACGCCCACATAGCAATGGTTACTTTAGGTCGTCTCTAAAATGGTCTATGGGGTATCTGCAAGTTCTTTCGATGTTGATAACTGGCGTTCATTACGCCAATGGTTGTTGTCTACAAGCGCATTTGAATAAATCTAAGACATTTTCTACCAAAACACATATTTATAAGCGGCAGCATTTGCATGCCATTAGATGGTGATTACTTCTCTTATATCGATAATTGAACAGATTTATTTTGAACAGTGTTGTTTTCACTTGGAGCTTCAGTGTACTAGAAGAAGGCTTCTTTTCAGAACGTTAACTCGCAACGTGGGAAGTCCGGAGCTGCGGTGCGCAGTGCTTTCTTCGTTGTATCTAAGGTGTCAATTTCATTGGCGCACCGGCAAAAATAGATAATAATCTGCGGTGTATGTACCTTGCCGGACACATTTTTCTCCAGGTTTTGTTGTTGATCACCTACGCGGCGACCAAGCAAGTAACGGAGTGGCGAAAATTTATTATTTTTTCAAGGTAGTTTTAGGTAAAACAGATAATCCAAGCGCATCTGTTGTTCTAATAATACAAATATTTATTTTTACCAGGACTGGGATCTTCCAAAGGTTGCTGAATGGTGATGTGCTTCAGCACCGATTGAACGCATGCTCTTCCATCTTGAAGGAATAAAGATACTAGTTTCCGATTAATCCGTAACAGGAAAAAGTGACTTGCAAGCCGGCGCTTTTCCTTCCATAACAGACTCCATCATATTGTCATCTTACGTGACACAAGCTCGGCGTTTGGTTTCGAAACGCACGTAAAAACGGATGTGCCTCATACATTCTACACCTAGTCATGCCAACGAAAGAATATTGGAAAGATCATATTTTGTTCGGTTATCTCGGAAACGCTTGCGTCTCTCCAGGAAAGCTTGTTGTACAGAATGAATCCAGTTGAAGACGATCTCATATACCTGTACTTTCCTTGCTGTTGTGCGATCCCAGAGCTTCCATAGCCGTCACACAAACACCTGATGAGGTGGAACTTGTGCACAGGTCTGATTTTACTCAAGGTAAATTATGCGTGATGCGGAAAATAGTTTACTCAGTTATATCCGTAGAAACTTGATCCTGACAATAAAATGTCGGTTATATGCAGTACTCATGCCATTTTGCGCAACGGACAATTGCGAAGGCAATCTAGTTAATAAATTGCATTTTCCTGCGCGCAAACACATCTCACTGCACGATATTTCTTTTTTCTGACTTGTAAATTGCACTTTTTTAATACGCGAAATAAGTGTTGTATAGGTGTAACATTTGCAATCTGCTTTTTTGGGGACGCCGTTTTTTCTATGACCTATCTGGCTCAAGCAAGAAAGTCCCTGAGCTTCGTTTTTATGTTTTGGGCTCGGAGACACTTATCTGACAATAATCTACCCGCACTATACGAAGAGTTGCTGGTCAAAGGATGTTATCAAGGAAGCATCGTCTATGTTGGTAAACTCGAAACTTTGAAGCTCTGATCATGGTCACTAGTGTTCATCAGTGTAGGTTCGAAACGTCGAGCTTCATCAATATTTTAATTATGCATTTGTTACAATAACGTAAAATAAATACAAATGATCATTAATTACATTTCGTTATAATATGAACAACTTTAATGCTCTTGATGACTTCATTTAACTGGCACTTTCCGGTGCCTTGAACGCCATTTATTGCCAAAATAAGATCTCCCAGCTCACAACAGCACGTGTCTCCTTCGTGTACATGCGGCGGCTGCTGACGGCTACATGGTACGCACCTTCTCTTCGTTGATGTACCAGTTGAGGGCGGCCGCCGGCTTGGAGCCGGCCAGCGTGCAGTTGAGCCGCAGGCGCTCCCCCACCTGGTAGCTAGGGCGGATTCCGTGCAGCTGCGGCCCTAGCCGCGGCTGAACTGGGGCGGAGCACAGACGCGTCATGGTATGGCGATGGAACACGGAGCACCCGCACACTGGAGACGGTGACGCCCGAACATAGCACCGACCGCATGGTCACGGGCTGGGACGGAACACCTGTACACTGGAGACGTACACAGTGACGCCCGGGCAGAGCACCGACCGCATGGTCACGGACTGGGGACGGAACACCTGTACACTGGAGACGCACACAGTGACACCCGGACAGAGCACCGACAGCATGGTCACGGGCTGGGGACGGAACACCCGCACATTGGAGACGCACACGGTGACGCCCGGGCAGAGCACCGACAGCATGGTCACGGGCTGGACGGAACACCCTCACATTGGAGACGCACACAGTGACGCCCGGACTGAGCCCCAAACTTTGAACTTGTAACCCTGCGGAGCACGGTGCGGTATGTCAAGAAATGAAGCGCAAACAGGCTGAAACGCCGGAACTAACGGGCTGGACGTGGGATGTGTCGATGATTTTAAGGGGTGGAGGGCTTCATGGTCTGCAGCAAAGTGCGGAGTGTGTTGATAAAATCTGGCACGTTCATAGGGTTGAAGCGAAGTCGGGGAAATGAAGTCAGATCGTGGAGCACAACAACGGCCAGGGGTGGAAACTTGAGCGCATTGGCGCCAGTTCATCTTCAGCAGACGACATTCGATCGTTGGTGAGAGCAGAATAGCCCAGCGACTTCTTCGTGACGGTAGGGGAGATTAACGCAGGTGTTAAGGTATCACGAAATGAGTTCATGTAATCCAATAGATAGTAGTTTATGCGATATATTCCTTTGTTGAATATCAATCATTAAACGCACAATAAAAATATCGTGATCATCTGCGCATCATTAGTGAGGTGCATAAACGAGAGAGCAGGCTTCGTTTGAAATGTAGTAGATGGTCTTACACCAGAAACACGATTGTGTTATGTGCTTTCTAAAGCCGTGTGAAGTTGTCTACTCACCAACAGCCATTTACCCTCACACAAACCTCAGCTACTCACGTGGGGTCATCACTCATTGCGTCCGTGGTTAATGGATTCAACCCGAAAATCACTCACGCACCCGGACATCTTCCAAAGTAATTTACGGCGTCCGAAACCAATTACGGATAACAAGCCTCGACGAAAAACGGAACGGCGGACCGGCCGGCGGCCCGTGCGCTGGACAGGACAGCCAGCCGGCGGCAGGACGTATGGTGAACAGCTGACCACGGCCTGGACCGGGGACCACGGAGGACTGGGTAGAGGATAGTCCGAACAGACCTGAGCAACTGTGGGAGGGGGAGGCACTAGGAGCCACTCCTGCCATCACCTCAAACGGCCAGAACGCTGCTCGGCTCACAGCGGTATACGCTGCAGCCAGAACTCTGGCGTCCGCTCTGAATAAGCGCGGTTCCGGTCCGCTGTGGCTCAGAACGCGGGTCGTGCTCAGGAGCAGGTTGAAGCGCAGCCGGGAGAGGCACGCGTCCCGGGAGGGCCGGCGCCGTCCAGTCGGTCGCTTGGCCGGGGGCCCTTCAATTCCAGGCAGCGGCACACTGTGATGTGCGACTGAGAGCCGTCCGAGGTGGTCAGATTTCCAAGGGGACACATAAAGCGGATTAAGCCTTACGCCAGCACTCGGGCTGCGTTGTAACTTGTAAGCTGGCGTGCGGAGTGCTGTGGAGCACATCCCAGATGGCTGCTCGGGACAAACGGCTATGCCTTGACTAGCTCGTGCGGCTTCGCTGCAAGGCAAAACAGCAATGTACCCGCTGTAAGTGCGAGTCCGTAACAGCGTGTGGTTGTTACATTTTTCGTAGTGATTTTATTAGCTTTAATCAGCGAGTATACTTTTTAAGAGGCAGAACTTTTCATCCAAACTACTACTTCTGCTATGATAGAGATATAATGGATTTGACACATGAAATCTGTTTTCTTTTTTTTTCCTTCTAGACGGGAATACAATTTCCAGTACAAACAATTGTCCGCACAGCTGGAATATTGCCACCTCGGCTCCATGTCTTCACCAACAGCATTTGGGTTAAAACACTCAATGACAAAAGTATCACTAGTTATTGCCTAACGATTAGGGCAGAAGATATCACCGGTGACTCTGCGATACCAGTTGTTTCCGGGCTCCATCAGGTAGTATTCTCCTCTTCCTAAGTCTGTGCTAATGTCAATATCTTTCATAATGATGCAACAAGCGGTACCTATGATAAATCCTGATAAAATGGTTATGGCATGGTACAGAATCGCCACGTGGCGTCGATACGTATTAGGTGATTGTGGCAGACATTTTTTTGTGCATGTGGACAATCAAATGAATTAACGCAACTTATAGCAATCTTATAGAGTACCATGCAGCCCTCGGGTGTGTGCTCTGTCGTCGGCGTGACGTGGAAGTGTGCTACACTTCGCTGAGGATTGCCTCCAAAGGCTGAATAACAACTGGCCGCTATGGCGCGGCAGTTAATGATGTCGCACGGACCGAACTCGGGCCTGGGTGGCGCATATTGGATTTCAATACTGAAGCGACATGGCAGCTGTTATATAACTATTCTTAGGCTCGCAGTCTGTTTTGATGCAAAGCGGTGTGTTGCGGTAAATGGCGGTAAATTGTGCCGCCTTCTTATCACGTGCTCGGGAATGTGTTTGAACAGCACTCACACATGATTCAGGTATGGTATTGAACAGCATCAATGCATAATTCAGGCATGGTATCAAGCAGCATTAATGCATGATTCAGGTATGGTATTGCATAGCATTAATACACGATTCAGATAATGTATAATCACTGGCCACGTATCCATCTAGGGATATTTTCAAGTAAGCTCTCGCCCTCACTACCCGCTTTTTGTAACGCGGACGGATGAGGGGGCCGCCAAAACTCGATTGGCGTTCCCATGCTATTAAATATAGATCCTAACGGAAAACACCGTGCCGGGAAAAGGAGGAAGGTTTATTGAGACCCATTCGTGTTTCGGAGGTGTCTTCCCAATCGTTTGATTTGCATTTTGTCACGATATATTTTTGTTATTTTTGATTATTTACATATTTTATTGTGAAGATATTACCATCCTTACGTGTGATCTTTTCTTGTAACATTTATCATGACATGATTTTGTATAGTCAAGTTCACAAGGTTTCCAAATGTGGCCTCCATGTTTCAGGATCCTATTCTGTCAGTCAACCAACGAATGAATTTGTTCTCAGAGCCTTGAAGGTCAAAAGGAAATCCGATGTAATGCAACGCCTTTTTGTTCTGCGCACACTAGAACTTTATGTTCGGAGGATATAAAAGCGTCACATAACTATGGCAACATCTTTAGCCCATCGGTGCCTGTTACGTTACATGGAGCAGCATTATTGATTGATTTAACATCACGTTGACGAAATGGCGGAAAGATACTTCAAAGAATGGAGTGCAATCTTACCGATTATGCTTGAGCCAGTCACGACTAGCTACGTGCACACCCTTTCGAAATCATCAACACAAAAAGGTCAGTTTGGATGTAAACATTCCTGAAGCTCTCCTACATTTAGTGCACAATCCTTAGAAAAACACAAACAATTGAATAACGGGAGTGTATAATTGATAACGAATTGGCTGTGAGGTATGGGCACAGTCCCACATGCAGCGCGTGGATTGTGAATAACAACCCTGCCTATAAAGTCTGCTACTATTTTATCGTGGGGCACGGACATACCACATATTTTGTGATCCGAGGCCCGGGTCATGAGAGCTTTTCAGGCGGGTCTGAGATCATGACCTTATGGTGGTGGTGGCTGTATTAGGTGGCTGGTATTAGGTGGCTGACCAATGCACTTGGAGGTCATTGGCTGCATGTTTTGCCTTCAATCAACTTTACTCAGCGGACATTTGCACAGCTACTTCGAGACGGTTGGATAATCGTTGCACAAGCTGCCTTTATAAAGGCAAGATTTTAAAGGGAATGTTTCGAATATGAAGATACTGAAGAAAGCACTAGATAAGGTGAAACAAGCTCACTGATGACTGCCGTTATACTTTTAAGTAGAACAGACTGCTCTAGGCAGCACCATCTCTCTGTTTGGTCAATAAGCCACCCGACGCGCGTTTGTTTGATTATGTCGCCGTACCTTCCACGACATGGATTAAGAGCTAATTGACAACCGTTATGTATGGAAGTCATGCTCACAAACGCCATATATGGGCAACCCGACCATTATATGTTTTTTTTTTGGTCTTGGTTGCCGCATGCCTTGTGGGATGGCATTATTATGGCGCTTGAATACCAAGGTGACCTTGCAATCTTCTATCCGAAAAAGTATGCCATCTTCGTGGGCGCGAAGCACAGAGACTAGACGGGTTTAGGTCTTAGAAAGGCAGGGCTGTAAACTGCGCCGAATGATCCTCAAGATGGCTATTTCAGTTTAAAACCACATAGAAATGTGAAGCACTCCCTTTAAACCGAGCCGACGTGCCAGCCGTGGGGGCTACGGCAAAGCAACGTTAGTAGATACTGCTGAGTACGCATGAGGCCTCCACCCCATGGGTTTTGTGTTATAGGGTGTCGGGTGCGGAGGGGACAGAACCCAAGCCGTGGTGCTGCGGAGGGTGTGCAAACCGGGTGAGGTGGGATGATTAACCTGAATTGCCCGCAATGCACGAGAAGAATGAGGAAACCGCCAATTGTGACTTGCATTGGACACTGGTAAGGAGCAATCTACCCCATGAATGAGTATGATAAGAACAGCTGAGGGACCTCTCCTCATCGAAAGTGCAGAGCGATGCAGTAGAAACTATTTTATTCTGAAACCGCACATATTGTAAAATTCCAGCAAAGCAAAAAGTGTCAGGATACGAGGAGCGTGCCTTTATTAGCAATGTAGTGCCCTAAAAATGACGCCACGCATTGTGCAAGCCTGATAGCTGTGCTGATGTACAGTGAGGTACAGTTGTCTAATGTCTGTTGCCGAGTAAATTATTCCTGGAAACTGCCTAATCAGTATGCATCTGCAACTGCAGGTGGCCGCCAGATAACCTCAGGCCAGATATCAATTGAGAGAGCTGGATGCCTCTGATTTAGGAAGTAATATCAAATCCTCCCTACGGAGACACTTTCAATTTTGCCGTGTCCTCCGTGATCTATTTACGACGTCTGCCAGACAGACTGATACTAATGCCAGGTCGTAAAGATTTGAGCCAGAGCAGCAATGAATGCTGATGAGCTGGTATCATACTGAGGAGCCTTTGCAGAGTCCACTGTTTCTCTGGCAGCCGCGCGACCAGGGAAACGACACGAAAGAGCCGATGGCCGGCGACGGTTTAGAAAAGGCGGACGCTTAATTAAAAATCTTTGGCATAACGTGACCCAGGCAATTATCTTTTGAAGCCTTTAATTAAACGAGATTGAGGAGCTTGATCCTGTCTAGTTGGTCCCCTAACTTCTATCAATCGATAGCGCGACACACTTCCGCATGGATGCTTCTTGTGATAGCCAATGCGTCACAACAACAGATCCAGCTGTAGTCCAAAACGACGCCTGGTGTAATGCGTAGCGATGTTTCATAGTCCGGGTGAATAATGACAAACTACGCAGGAGCGAAAGCATGCGCAGACGACACTTACGATTTAGCACTCTTTGCGCTTTACTTGACAAAAACGGACGATGGAAAGTGCCATTCGACCACTGTAAGATGCATCGAAGATCGATATCCGCCCACTAGGCCACTTACCGACCACGATCATGTCTCCGTAGTCATAGTAGGTGTCGAATGAGGGCGCCTCCAGTGAGACTTCGCAGCGAAACTGGCCCGAGGTCGACAGATACACTGATCGAAGCCGCACGGTGCGTGCATCTGAGGCTGCCAGCTGGGGACGCAGGGGCGACATCAGCGCTGCATCAGGCCCAGCCTCGTAGCGCCTTTCAGTTAGGCGACGAGCTCTGTAGATTACAATACCGCTGGTATTGGTGATGACATGCAACGATAAACGATGGGACAAAAACAACGTGCGATTGTATATGCTACACACACACACACACACACGCATATATATATATATATATATATATATATATATATATATATATATATATATATATAATATATATCTCTCCTCTCTCTCTTTCTCCTTCTCTCTCTCTCTCCTCTCTCCTCTCCTCCTCTCTCTCTCCTCTCTCGTCTCTCTCTCTCTCTCTCTCTCTCTCTCTCTCTCTCTCTCTCCTCTCCTCTCTCTCTCTCTCTCTTCTCTCTCTCTCTCTCCCTCTCTCTCTCTCTCTCTGTGTGTATTTATATTTATTTATCCACTGCGTTCACAGTGCCGTGGTCCCTCGGTGAGCGCTGTCATGTGTGCGCCATAGTATCCGGCAGGGCCACTACGTGGACCGCCTAATGAAAGCCGACGCTCACACCCACCCACCGGCGCGGTCCTCGCTCCCCAACAAATCCAGCTCTGATTGCAGCCATTCTCCGGGGACTGGCCAATATGCCCTGGAATGCAATTCCGCAAGGAGATATTCACGCAACAGTAGGTGTTTACTCCAATATCCACTTATCAGCGGGAACTGCATCTAATCAAATGATGGTGTGCTAATATATTGGAGGTCTAGCTGCTGAGTCATGGCAAAGTCAGAAAAGCTTACCAATCAGTGCCCGCTAATTGGCGGTAATACGTTCATCACACTCGCGTATTCTTTCATGAACCAACATGCTTCTTTGGCACCAGCTGGTTGCATCTATCCCCACAGGCCACGACACATTGCATTGCCCCGCCTGGGACGTTACGCCACGCGGGCGCGCAGGGGATTAAGGGTATCTCCATGTTGTCTCAGATTATTATAGCGAGCCGGAAAAGCTCAAATATCAAGCAATAGCCTGGTTCGTCTTATGACAACGCCTCAGTATGCTGATTTTGTCGCAGAGGAAGACTTTTGGGGCCCGCAGATCACATGCTTAAAGTGACACCAAGCAAGCAAGCGAATTTTTGGTTTTGTTTTAAAACCATGCCATTTTTTAAATGTGAACTGTTAAGATCAAACCATGGTCATGACAGACCCCACCGGGCGTTGTTTTTCTGTTTTTTTCAGTTAACACGATATAGTGAAATTATTGGCATAGAAGTATGTTTGTTATACCTATTTAGATAACACCAATGAAAGTAGCAGCTTAGTTTGGTTAAGCACAGGTCAGTTGACCCCACATGACCTCTGATGGTGACTTTGATAAACTTGTATAATAATGAGCCTTGAGTAGCAGGTGATCGCCCTGGGCGATTAAGCACATAAATATAGTTTTAAAAAAAGAAACTATCAGTTCGTATATGTAGGGGAAAAGATTGCCTTGGAGGCATTCACTTATGACTTTGTAGCTCAGTGACCTGAGTTAATATGGAACAATTTTTATCCTCCAAAATATTTAATGGAAGCCAATCCAAAAATCCTGATATATCCTGTGACTCCTCCCTAATGCTTCCTGTTACGTTTGATCGACCCGAGGTGGTGGCCGCTTAACTAGCAAGAGATGCTCTTCCACACAGACTACAGCGGATTTAAGCCGCGACCAGGAGCCCTTGAAACAAGCCCTGACCCATTCTTGGCCAGCACACTCGCAACCAACGCTGTGGACGGGCATGTCACGTTTCAGCCGCCATGTGCTTTCTTAGCTATTTTGCTTTTAACAACGCACTTCATTGGATTCATCATAGCTTGCCCTAATGGGTCAAAAAATGCGGCTAGAAAAAATAAAAGCATGAGAAGTTGCTGCAGACAACTATGTAGTGGCTGCCTGCGATGGGTCCCATTAATTAAGCAAGAGATAATCAGTCGTGGTGACCATGCATGCTTCCGCACATAACATCACAACATCATACATTATATATGAGGGCACCGATGGTGCAGTGGTTTGGGCCTCGACTCATCGCGGTGCCCGCCCTTCCTGCTAGGGCGAGAGGCAAGCGACGCTGTGTAGCATCAGCAGCTGAGTGCGTCGCAAAGCCCAATGACAGCGACAATTTACATGATACTCATACCAAACTGAAATCACAGACTTGCACAGCCGTGCCATTAAAATTATATTGTTTTGGCCATTAATGCATTTATGGTCTTGAATGCTGTAACAGGAAGAGGGGCTGCAGCCCAAGTTAATAAGGCAACTACGTTCCGAACCTGCTCCTCGAATTTCATAGTCGGTAACAAAATGTCATCCTTCAGCAGGTTGTTGAAAGACATCCATAACCTTTTTCGAACGTGCAAGACCAGACAGGGCTATACCCTTGGCGACTTCAATATGAAATAGTCATGCATCAAGTCATTAAATAGGCCCGAAGAGGTGCACAGCGGAGGGTTCCGCTCGGTAAATGTCTGCCAACAAATGTGCGCGACGTTTAAAATGTGCATAACAGATGGCGTTCGTATCGCGCGCCTGAATAGGTACGCTGTTCCGCAGGGGCTATGCGGGCGAATCCGTCGATGCCTTGACTGTGACCGCCTGGATTGCTGCGGAGGCCGTCTGGTGTGAAGTGAAGGCTTTGCGGATACAACTTTCTGGGCCAGAGAACCACCCAAGCCTCCCGAAATTATGGGCTAAATCTTATGCATATTATCCATGACAATCCGAATACTTTTCGCAAAGTTGTAGCTCTGTAGCACTATCAGCCAGCAACCATGTTTTGTGGCCTAGCAATAATAGCAATAATAATAGTAAGCGGCAGTAAATAGTATCCTAAGCAACGTAGTCCTGAAAAACTTGCACTGCTTTGATATAAGAAAGACGCATAATGCTCAAAATCCTAATTATCAACATCTACGTCAAATGTATTTAAGATACATCGCCAGTTGTTTATGCAATTTTCTTTTGAAGTCGTATGTGCCAACAAAGTGCAGCAGCCGCATAAAATTAACAGTTCCTCACCATTCAGGTTTCAAAGCAGTTAGCCACGTGACCATTGTATCATCGAATCGCATCCATTAAAACCATTGTATCACCATGCATCGAACGCTCTAACATCAAGTAAGAGCGATTTGTGCGTGGCGCGAAAACTATCTGGCAGGGCATGTTATATCCTGTGCTGTTCTCGACACTATGAGTTTGAAACTCTTATGCTGACAGTTCTGAACGTGCAATAGACCGGGAGATATCGGTTAAGCGGCGATGTTAAACAAACGTTGGTCTTATCGTTTAAAAAGACGCGCTGGCCAAACAGCAGTGTTCCGGCGATCGGGTACTAGGGCGTCCGGCATCGAGTACCTCGTACTGAGGTTGATTGGGCTTATCATCTGCTAAGGACATGCAATCGAGCCCTCATTACCAATGCGGGCATGTGCAAATAGAGACCCAAACAGAAGAGGAAAGGGAAAATGTTAAGAGTAAATTTTGATCAAGCCCCATTGTCTCTTACATTTCGACTTTGATACTCATTGAAAGAAATACAACGGCTATTCAAATAGCATACTCAGTGTATACTGATATACATGCCGATGCTGAAAACGTAATCATATTTTATATGCACGAGAAAAAAAATACAGCAAAATACACCGTAAAATCGCATCGCTTGATCCATCCTTCGAATCCAGACATCTGTTTTCCTTCCGAATCCACGCGTCAGCATTTTATTGTCCTCACCGAGTCATTGGGCTGGTGTTTATGTGCCGCACCCTGCAGCGAGGAGAGTCCCCGGGTTTCGAACCTTCGCCGGGCGGGCAGCTCTCACCGTCCGGTGAGCACCGGGGAGCCCAGATCGAGGCGGGGTGGGGTCGGCACACATGTCGAATGGTGCGACCACAAGCAGCCGCGCGCGTCATGTCCCGTGTACGCCCCGGCTGATCTACCCATGGGCGGCTGCCGTTTTTGCGGTTGTCTGGTGCCTGGTTGTCCTCACACCTTTGCTCGGCTGAGAGACTGCCGTAAGGTCTCCCCACATGGTTGGGAGCCGACACCCCTGCGCTCTGGCACGCGACGGCTGCGGAATCTCGGCCCTGGCTCGGGCGCCCGTGATGCGGCCCTCCGAGAGATGACAGCTCCGATCAGCCCATTCCCGCGGCTGGAGTCGATGGCTGGCCCGTCTGACAGGTGACAGCCGACCAAGATCAGGCGCCCGGTCGGAGTCATCGATCGTCCCCCGTCAGCGGTCCGAGCCGCCAAACGAGCCGCCACGCCGATCTGAACGTGTCTATCCGGGGTGAAGGACGGCGCCGTGGCAGGAGGGCATGATGCACGAGCTAGACGGGACGTCTGGGACGCGAACGGTCGGCAGGTCATCGTGCGGCGGGGAGGCGGATGACGCGAGACGGCCTGTCACGACGTCCAAAGAGGGTTTCATATGCAGTCGTCCCCGGAGCGAGTGCACTGTGCTCAGAACTGGGGAAGGTACCGGGTGTAGATACTGCGCGCAGATGGGATGATTATCCAGGGTAACCACAGCGCGACAATTTTAAGCAGAAGCTCCATCATCTTCAACTGCGTCTTAGATGACGAGCGGACACGCGCGGCTCAATCCGGGGCTGGACGGAATCTCCGCACGCGCCACTTCCATCCAGGATATCGCTCCTCAGTTGGGTCACGTAGGTCGCTCGAAACCCACCGCACCCGCGTGCCCCGCCGTGGCCGCCGGATGGTTCGGGTGATGGCACGGATAACAAGATATCGGAGCCGGACAAAACACGGCGTCGTAATGAAGCAAACTGCACAAACGCGGGCTCGAGAACGGTGGCCGGTGCTACAGCGTTGGCGGAAAAACAGGCGCAATAGGGATTAGCGTGACTATCTGGGGCCCAATATCACACAGACCTATTTCCGAACGTAGAGACAAATAGCGTACGGTTAGATTGTGGCAGCTAGAGGCGCTAGGGGTTGGCAATCGATTGTACGCTAGGTGGGGTCAGGAAAAATACAGATTGCTACGGTTGAAGGTTGTCCAGTAGCCTAACACAATATTTCTGAAGTTTCTCAATTTACTGACTTTCTTTGCGGCTGACCTGTTCCTTTAAGTAGGCCCCTTTCCCTAAACTGGCCCTTGTCCAAACACCGTAACAAGCAGCACGAGATCAAATCATCAAATAATTTAACTGCGTAGGCTACAAGGCGATTGGCTTCAAATAGACTGGTCCCTGACGATGTCCGTCAACCGTGGTGACGGCAGCGTGACGATCGGCAGTTGGTTTCAAATAGACTGGTCCCTGACGATGTCCGTTAACCGTGGTGACGAGAGCGCAACGATCAGCAGTCACTGATCTTACGGGATATCAAAGACTCGGTCCACCAAACCCAGATGTCATCTTCAACACTCCCTGCACTCACGTCCACGTCTATTCCGGGCACGACGAACGCCTGCTTCTTCTTG